GCATGTCCAGTTTATACAGCATAAAATCAAACAGTCCAGACAAGAGCAGTATCTTGTCCAAATGGCTTGTCTTGCCATATTGGAAGCAAACTCCACAACACATTTCTTCAAGATCCATCTTCCTTTCTGATGCAGTTGGTATTGCCAGGAGCAGTTGTGCTTCACTGTTAAGAAAAACCCTAAAACATTTTAAATGCCATATTCTGTAGGTCTTTGAAAAGTGAAGAATGCTTATCCATCTCAAATGCATCTCTGTATATCTAGAAATCTTAACTAATTTAACTATAAGTTGTGACTATTATAGGTAACTATCTGTAATCTGTGTTAAATTATACATTACATTTATAAATAACCTATATAAACACAATACCTAAACAAGAGGAAAAAGATACATATCACAAAATTGACCTTAAGTTTGTATCAATAAAAGAAAATCCATTTCAAAGCAAAGTATTCATATCTGTACCATAATTCCCTTTATCCTTTAAAAAGATTGGTTGTGGTCATTAACTATTTATAACCAAGTCCATTTAAATGAAAACAAACATTTATAGACAGTATTTGGGAATTTGGGCATCATTCTTTCCAAACTGCTTCCTGCTGATAGGGGGCGCTGTCATGGGGGATTCTAAGAAGACAGAAATCCTGGCTGTAGTCTGTAAGGCTGGCTTGTCTCAACTGTTTTGAATGTTGGATCACCTGGTACTCTGTTTCAGGCGGTCTTGCTTGATCAAACCATGTTAGTCTGGAAGGAATCCACAGCTTTTCATTTTCTGTGGAAACAAAAATAGAAATCCTTTTCCCCAGTAACCTGTCCTTGAACTTAAATTTTGAAGTCAAAGCATTTTTAAAATATATAAATTGGATTGATCCAGCAGCATTTGTTTTAACAGTTGTTCTTATTTCCTCAGCAGTCAAACAATACAAAGACAATATAATACCTTACAGTATCCAGATTCTCTCCATCTTTACATGGCTTTTTTATTACTCTTTTTCTTCTAATTTTTCAGTTTTTGAGACAGGGCTTCTCTGTGTAACTTTTATCTGCCCTGGAATTCACTCTGCATACCAGGTTTACTTTGCAATCACAGAGATCTGCTTGCCTCTGTCTCCTGAGTGCTGGGATTAAAGGTGTGTGCCACCACACCCAGCTCCTCTCTGTCTTTTTAAAACCATTTTATTCTTTTTCTCTCCCAAACCTACATATATTTTAAAACACCTTTAGTGCTTTTTCTTAATGTGAATCTGTCTTTACTGTAAATCTTTACCTTTTCCGGCCACGAGTCTTTTATCTGGTAAACAATAACATTGCTAAAATGAAATCCACAGTTGTTTCAGCCGTGGTCTATTAAGATGGCGGCGGGTACTTTTACTGCCAGAACTGAAAGCTGTGCTCACCATCTTGGTCTACGCTGCTGTCCAGCAGCATGCTGCTGGCTTGGAGATGTGGTCACTGCCATTGCCAGCTCTCCTACACATCATTCAGTTATTAGCAGAGCTCTTTAAGCCTTGTGTTTTTTTTTTTTTTTTTTCCTGCTTATGCTGAGTCAGGAAATCTCCCTTAAAGGAGCCTCGCAAATCTCTGTTTGTCGTTAGCAAACAGAACCCAACTGAGAAAAATGCTGCTACCAAGAAGCCTTGCTTGTCTTTGTTCTTTTGTTTCTAAAACCCTTTTTTAAGCTTTTGTTAAATTTTAAGCGGAAGTTCTTATTATCCCTGTTGTGGCGCCATAATGTTAGGCCTGGACCCTCAGTGGCGCCAGCCCCAATTAACACACAGGACTCTATTAAACTGTTCAGTGTGAATTAGAAAATATTACCCTGTCTTCAGTTCCCGAAAGACTTCAATTTCTTTCATTTATTTAATTATTCTTCCTTTACTTTTTTTGTTTTTATTTTTTGAGACAGTGTTTCTCTGTGTAGCTTTGTAGATCAAGCTGGTCTCAAACTCACAGAGATCTACCTGCCTTTGCCTCCTGAGTGCTGGATTAAAGGCATGGACCACCATTGCCTACCTTCTTCCTTTACTTTTTATTTTCTGTGTATAGGTGTTTTTTTTTTTTTTGTTTTGTTTTGTTTGTTTGTTTTCTTTTTTTTTTTTAAACCTTCCGAACGTCCACATGCCTGCATTTCCTGTGGAGGCCAGAAGAGGGCATTTAATTTCCTAGACCTGGAGTTACAAAGTGGGAACCACTATGTGGATGCTGGGAATACATCCAGTGCTCTTAACCACTGAGCCATCTCTCCAGCCACAAATAATTTTGTTCTGAGACAAGGTCTCAGTCTGCAGCCTAGAGGATGGCCTAGATCTCATTATGTAGCCCTGGCTGTCTTGAATTCATGGCAATACTTCTGCTTCTGCTTCTAAAATACAGGGATTGTAGGCATGAGTCATCATGCCCAGATTCCCAAGAGCCTTTAAGAAACTGGCTTATTATTAAAAGTTTTAAATTTGTGTGTGTGTGTGTGTGTGTGTGTGTGTGTGTGTGTGTGTGTGTGTGCACGCGCGTGCATGTGTAAAAGAATGAGAAACGTATACCATCCAAAACAAACATTTTGTGCTTCAAAGGACCCCCAAAAAGTGAAAAGGCAACCTGATGAAGAGAGAATATTTATAAACCATATGTAACTGAACTGACTTATACTCAATGTATGTCAAATGATTACACTATAATTAACTATAACTTTTTAAAATAATGGGCAGAGGGACAGGACATAATAGTACACATCTAAAGCTTTAGGTGGTGGAGATAGGAAGTCATTCATCCTTGGCTACATAACAAGTTTGAGGTTAGCCTGGGATATATAAGCCCTTGCCTCGGGAAAAAACAGACATACAGAAAGGAAGAAATTCAAAGCTGATTTATGTAGTTAAATATAGCCAGGAGGTGGTGGGACACTCCTTTAATCCCAACACTTGAAAGACAGAGGCAGGCATATCTCTGTGAGTTTGAGGCTAGCCTGGTCTACAGAGTGAGTTCCAGGCCAGCCAGAGCTGTGTAGTAAGATTCTGTCTCAGAAAACCAAACTAAACCAAAACATAAATGAATTAATAAGAACAAAGGATTCAGACCCTTCCCAAAAGATGCATGTGTCCACTAAGCACATGAAAGATACTCAGAAGTATTAATTAGTAGAAGCCACAACACCATATGTTCAAAGATGAATGGTTATAATTAAAAGTGATAGACACTAGAACCCTTGGAGATTCAGAGAAATTGAAACCCTAATGTATGGCTAGTGGGACTGTAAAATGATACACTGGGGGAATCAGATTGGGAATCACTTAAGTCACTTCCAAAGGGGTTTAATAAAAAGTTCTCTTATAACCTAGAAATCCCACTCCCAAGCATATATACCCCATGGAATTGAAAACAGTACCAACACACAAATATGCACAAATGTGCACAGCAGTATCATCGGAACCAAAATATTATCTAAATGCTAATAAACTGATAAACTGGTAAACAAAATGTATTGTGTATACTCAGTGGAATATAATTATGCCCCCAAAAGGAATGAAGTGTTGATACGTGCAATACATGTTTAGACCTTGAAAACACTGTGCTAAGTGAAAGAAACCAGATACACAAAAGGCCACAATTATATAATTTTTCTATGAAATGTCCAGAATAGGCAAACACGGAGAGCTTAAAATTTTGTCAGCATTAGCCAGGAATATTAAGAGAGAGAGAGAGAGAGAGAGTAAGGAATGAAGAATTAACCTAATGGATATAGTGTTTATGGACTATTGAAAATGTCCTGGAACTAGATAATGGGTGATATGGACAACAGACTAAATGGTTACTTCTGAATATACTAAAGCCCAGTGCATTGTCAACATTGAAATTTTTCTTTTTGTAGTGCTAATGACTGAACCATGGTCTTTTATATGCCAGTCAAGTACTGTATCAATAAGCTACACCCCCAATTTTGTATATTGTATATCACAAAGACAAATTATTAGTATATAATTAGAATTCAATTAAGAAATCAATTATAGGTTCTGGGAAGATTGCTCAGAGTTTAAGAACACTTGCTGCTTTTGCAGACAACCTGGGTTCCCAGCACCCATACTGGATGGCTCACAATCACCTGTAGCTCCAGTTCCAGGTAGACTGAGGCTTCTTCTGACTTTTGTAGGTTTATGTACACATGTAGTGCACATTTACTCAAGCACACACACATACAAATAAAGTTAATATTTAGACAAGAATTCAATGATCATATTTCTACTGTATTCTATTATAGTAACAAAACTGGTTCTAAAAATATCTTCAGAATCCAGGTAAGAAGTGTACAGAAAAAAATAACAATAGCTGGATATGGTTATGCACACCAGTAATCCCAGTATAGGGGAAACTAAGGCAGAAGGCTTGAGAGTTCCAAGCCTGCCTTCACTATATACTGAGACACACCCTGACTAAAAAAAATAAAACACTAATAACAATACTCAGCAATGGCAAACCATATCTGAATTCATATTCTACTTTTTCAAACATCTCCCCATGATTTATGCTTACATGTTTCCTTATTGTTGTCTTCATTGAAATAATAACTACTTCTAGACATCTCTAGCATCCTTGAGGTGAAGGGTACAATTAAGGCACAACTCATCTGCTGCTGTTGGCTGGGATGCAAAAAAAAAAAAATTGTCTTTATCTGTTCTTTTCAATTGCTCCAAAACCATCAGATCTGAAAAAGCCAGGTAGAAGTTTGCTGTCCAGAAGGCATGAGACTCTGACTCACAGAAATATTAAAAAGCAAGAGATTTCAGGAGCCTTGGGTTCCTATTAAATTTATCATTTATGAATTTTTCACAGTTCCTTCATAAGTGTACACATAAATCTCATGGATGATGAATTACAGAAGTAGAAATAGGTCTCTGAAAAGTCTCCAAGTTTCATGGAACACTATGGTTGGGCACATTAGAAGAAGAAAGAGGTCCTTTTAGGCCTGGGGTTATTGCTCAATGGTAGTGTACTTGCCCAGATTCACGTAGTGTTTCATAAAAAGGAAGAGCACATATACTAAAACTGGAATGATAGAGAAGTTTGCATGGTCTCTGCACTAAAATGACATGCAAAAGCAAAAAGCATTCTATAGTTTTATAAAGGCGGTGTGTGTGAAAATAGTAGATATTGAATGGATAGTATAGTTATATTTTTGCAAAGTTAACATTTATATAATCTTGCATAATATGAATATGTAATATAGGTGCTTGTTAATACTTAGCTTATATTCAAGTTAATGTATAGGTTAAAATGTGCATCTAGGATCTTAGCTCAGTGTAGTAACATGTGCCTAAAGTCCTAGCAACTTGTGAGGCTGAACTGAGAGGATTTTGAGTTCATGACCAGTGTGACCAATGAGTAAGACTCCATCTAAGAAACAAATAATAATAAATGAAATTTAAAAGTTTATGCAAGAAGATTCTTTTCACAAATTCTCAGTATGATTTTTCTAGACTTTCATTTCCTAAGTTAAGCATTTGAATTTTTTGTGGGGGTTGGTTTTTGAGGCAGGATTTCTCTGTGTAACCTTGGCTGTCTTGGAACTCCCTCTGTAGACAAGACTGGCCTTGAACCCTGCTTCAGCCTGACCAAGTGCTGGAATTAAAGGAGTGAGCCACCACCACCACCCAGATATTTGAATTTCTTATAAATATTATGCATTTATGATGCATAAAATAAATTTTTTCTTTTAAGAAAGATTAATGAAAATTTCCAAGTGAATAGCACACCAGGATCCCAGTGGTCAGTTAATATTACCTATGCTTCCTTTCCCCACAATTCTTTTAACATGAAAAATAAAAGACCAAGAGACAGATATTGGGGTTCAAGCTTCAAGCTGAAGATCAAAGCAAAGCAGCCAAGCCAGTAGATCTTACCTCTACCAAGTTGGAATGTCAATCCTGTCTCCATGAATCCTCAGAGACAAAAACTCTGAGCTCCTGTCTCCTCCTGCCTTATGTTCCTCTCTCTAGCCAGCCACATCACTCCTGTCTCTACGTGCTCAGTTCTGGGATCAAAGGCATGAACTCTTGACTATCACTCTTGTCTAGGCCAGGGTGGCCTTGAACATAGATTCATCTGCCTGCCTCCTCCTGAATCCTGGGATTAAAGGTGCCACCACTGCCTGGCTCTATGGATTGCTAGCATGATTTCAGGGACTAAAGGTGTGTATCACCATTGCCTGGCCTCTGTAGCTTGTGGCTAGCTTTGCATTCTGAACCCTCAGGAAAGTTTTAATAAATCATAAATAGTATATCACCACAATTCCCCTTTTTTGTCTAATACAAAAAGAAGGCTACAACTGATACAAGAAAAACTATATATAATAAGTATAATAAATACATACAATATGTACAGGCAATAGATATGTCAACAATTGTCTGGTCCATTTGCATTTGACAAATTAAGAGAAAATATTATCTATTGTATCTTGGTGAGTCCAAAGTCTTCTACCTAATTTACTTTCTATTCCAATTTGCATTATCAACTCAAACTTATCTTTTAATGTTTCTCAACCTTATATACTTTACATTTCTTTACTGAGTTTCTTCTCTGGGTCTGGTAAACAAGGAAAACTATAACTATAACTATACTATCTAGTCTTCAAATCCCTCAGAGACCTGAGAAGGAATTAATATTAACTGAGTAAATAGGAAGTGTGAACAAGTCTGAGAAGAGCAGGGTAGTTTGGAGATGCAATCAGAGGACAGGATCAGTTGAGGTGAGAGATCTCTAGTGTTTGGCTGCTTTGCTTCTCTGATCTTGAAGTTTGAACCCCAATATCAATCTCTGGTTTTTTATTAATCCGTGTTACAGATTCCTACTGTTTAGATTGGATGGTCAATGGAGAGAGTAGAAACAGTTGGAAATTCAGAGAATCAGACTGTAAGGATTGGCGGTGATAGACTGTTCATATAGCATGCATGAGAGCCTGGGGCTGTTTCTCTGTCTCTCTGTCTATCTCTGTTTATCTAGCTTAGCTGGACATTCTTCAGCCAGCTATTTAGTCTCAATAGCTATTTAGTTTCAATAGCAGATCTCTCAAGTATACCACCATGACTGAACGTGTGTATGTGTGTGTGTGTGTGGTGTGCATGTGCAGATCAGGGGACAGCTTACTTGAAATGGTTTTCTTCTACCACGTGGGTCCATAGGCTTGGAGGCTGGCACCATCACACCAGGCCTCATACCTTCTGTATTCTCTCTTTCTGTTTATTTTTTTCCAAGGCAGAATTTCTCTGTTAGTCCTGACTGTTCTGGAACTCACTCTGTAGACCAGGCTAGCCTCAAACTCAGAAAACTGTCTGCCTCTGTGTCCTGAGTGCTGGGATTAAAGGAGCATGCCACCACTACCCAGCACTTTATTTTCTTACCATCAAAAACAACAACAACAACAACAACAAAATGCAAAAAACTGAAATAAGATTTTTTTAATTCTAAAAATATTTTTGTATTGTTGATTTAAAAATCAATAACACTACTTTCAATTTTATTATTATTGTTGTTGTTATTTTACTATTATTGAATCAGAGTCTCATGTATCCAGGCCGGCCTCAAACTTGCTATGTAGTCAGAAATAGTCAAAAGTGTGAACTGATCGTTCTGCCTCCATCTTGAGTTCCGAGATTACAGAAATGAACCTACCATACCAAGTTTATATGGTGCTAGTGATCAAACCAGGGTGCACAGCATACTGTATAGCATATGCATGCAGTGCCCATGGAGGCCAGAAGAGGGCACTGGGTTTCCTGAACTGGAGTTACAGAAAGTTCTAAGTTGCCATGTGGGTGCTAGAAACCAAACCCAGATCTTGGGAAGAGCAGCCAGTGTTCTTGGCCACTGAGCCCTCTCCCCAGCCCCTAGTAGTTTTAATTGTGAACTCGGTGCAATCTAGAGTCATCTAGGAAGAGAATCTCAGTGAGGAATTATCTAGTGTGGGTTGGCCTGTTGCCATGGCTCTGAGGGATCGTCTCAATTGATGTGGGAAGACCCTAAGTAGCTATTTGTAAGGACATTTGATCAAGATAACAAAAATAAAAGGAAGACTATAGGCAAGCACTCTACCAACTGTACAACCCCACCCGAGATTATCTTGAAGGGCTATTAAAAACCTGTAATTTAAAAGCTAGAAGACATATTAACTGGTCCAACCCCTCCATTTTCCAGAACAGGAAAGTGGGTTGAATGGATATAATCCTGACTTGCTGTCACATAGATAGACAGAGGCTGCCTGGGAACATATCCCTGGATGTTTGATTAAAGCACTTGTGCTTTCTGTACCATGGGTGTGTGGGTAGAATCCACAGAAGAGACAAGTTTAATTAGTTGTAAAAAAGAACATCCTGGCAATTTGATTTCTTTAAAAGTGAAGTGAATAGGTTGCCACATTGTGTAAATAGGGTCTCTGATATTGGAAAGGTTTTGAAAATGAGCTGGGTAACTTACCTAATTAAGACAGTAAATTAATTTGTACCACTTCCAGGCATCCCATCAACTTTAACATATGATTTCATGTTGCTGTTAAGATTAGAAAGAATGTAAAGTGGGGCTGGGGATATATATAGCTCACTGGTAGAGCATTTGCTTAGCCCTAGTTCCTATTCACAGCATGATTTTTTTTTTAAAGTAAAACAAATCATGTCAGTAAAAACAGAATTTTATGGTTTAAACAATTGACTTTCACTTTCTTATTCATAGATATACACATATACTACATTTTATGTACGTGTGTGACAGCATTAGTGTGGAGGCTAGAGGACAGTTTGTGGGAACTGGTATTCTACTTCTAACATCTGGGTCCTAAGGATCAGACTCAGGGGCTGGAGAGATGGCTCAATGGTTAAAGAACTCTGGCTGCTCTTACAGAGAACCTGGATCAGATTCCTAGCACCTACATGGCAGCTCACATATATCTGTATCTCCAGTTTCAGGGGTTCCAATGTCCTCTTCTAGACTCCGTGGCCACCAAACACATACATGCTACACAGACATAAATATAGGCAAACAGCTATATATCTAAAATAATAATAATAATAACTAATAATGATGATGATGATAATAAACAACTCAGGCAGGCAGACATAGCAATAGGTGTGTTTACCTATTGGATCATCTTGCATCCTAGAATTCTGTAATTAAAAAAAAAATAAACTAACAAAACTCACTTTGTAAAATTAATACATTTCTTTTTTGTTTTTTTGTTTTTGTTTTTGTTTTTTTGAGACAGGGTTTCTCTGTGGTTTTGGAGGTTGTCCTGGAACTAGCTCTTGTAGACCAGGCTGGTTTCAAACTCACAGAGATCCACCTGCCTCTGCCTCGTGCTGGGACTAAAGGCGTGTGCCACCACCACCTGGCAAATGAATGTATTTCTGAGGCTGGAGAGATAACTTACTTAGTGCTGTGTGAACATGAGGATGTGAGTTCATCTCCCCAATACCTACATTGAAAAAGAAAGCCTGGTACAGCATTGTTGCACCTAAAATTTCAGCACTAGTGACGAGGAGACAGGAGATTTCCTATGGTTTGCTTGCTAGACAAATAAATTAAATTTGCAAGTTCAGGGTTCAGTGATAAACCCTGTCTCAAAAAATAAGGCAGGGCAAATGTGGTGGTGCATGCCTTTAGTACTTTAATACTGGTACTGTAATAGGAAGATCTTAAAGGCCAACCTAGCTACAAGACTCAGAATGAATATATAAAGTTGACTCTGGTTTCTACCTGTACCTGTGCATGTGCACAAAAGCATATGCATATACCACACACACACACACACACACACACACACACACACACACACACACACACTAATGCATTTCTATTAAAGGATATCAAAACAAAATGCAGGCCTAGTAACCCTGTTTAAAATAAGTGTAAAGCCCTGAAAGTCAGGAGTTTTAGTTTTTATTTTTTTGCCTGACATGGTGGTGTATGCCTTTAATCCCAGCATTTGGGAAGCAGAGGCAGGAGGATCTCTGTGAGTTCGAGGCCAGCCTGGACTATAGAGCTAGTTTCAGGACAGGCTCCAAAGCAATACAGAGAAACCCTGTCTCGAAAAAACAAAACAAACAACAACAATAACAGCAAAAAGCCCAAAACA